ACACTGCAGGACTGTTCTCAGGGCCAACGGTGTACACTGAAGGCAGAAAGGAAACGGTTTGATTTGCAGATGCCAGGTGGGGCACAGCAATCGCAGCTGGGGAATCTCTTGCGGTGTAAACTCAGCAAACTGGAGCTGCAAGCCGTTCAGAGACAGTAAGGATGGAACGCCCTTTGCCAGGGTACCACTGCACTCCACACGCTGCCTCTAGGGCTGGCTTTGTTTCAAGGGGTGGCTACTCAGCCTGGGATTTGTGAGGAGGGAGAGACACCTGGTGGCAACACGGAGGAATAGCATCTTTGGCACAGCCTGTGTTTGAATATCTGTCTGCTTTAGCATACTCCTTGGCCAACTTAATAACGATCATTTACATCATCTCCACAGTCCGTGTGCTTCTTTCATGCCACAGCTCTTTACAAACCACGGTGTCTGCTCACAAGAATTGCTCCCCTTACCAGCTACTGCTACAATGCAGCTACCTCTGGGGTGGAACGTGACAGCCATTTAATAGCATGCAACACTCCCACACAACAATGTAGGGCCACAGTTTAGAAAAGCACTTAAGCATTTGCTTAAAGTTAAGCATGCACATATATGCTTTGCTGAATAGGGATGCTAGCTTGAATTAAGTGGTAGAGACAAAGTAAAGAAGATTGAAACTTCAGGGGAATATTTAAGAAGGCAGAATATACTGACCCATCTGAAAATTTGGCCTGGACACAAAATACCAAAATATCATGGGACGTTCAGTTAAAATAAGTGGTCAAGATCTTGGTTTATTAAACATTTGAATCAGACAAAGGGAAGGGCGCCCTCTACTGGATCATCAGCACACATCATAGAATCATAGACTGTCAGAAGGGACCATTATAATCATCTAGTCTGACCTTCTGCACAACGCAGGCCACAGAATCTCACCCACCCACTCCTGTAACAACCCCCTAACCTATGTCTGAGTTATTGAAGTCCTCAAATTGTGGTTTAAAGACCTCCAGGTGCAGAGAATCCTCCAGCAAGTGACTGCATCACCCCTAGAGTGGGCCTGGGTGAGTGTCTTTGGATGAAACTTTTTTCTCCAAACCTCCAGGTTCATGTCGACCGAAACATTTTGAGAACTTGTGTCAAATTCCCAAACAAACAAACAATTCCAAACAAGTAAAAAGGTTTTGTTTTGACGTTTTCAAAACAAAACATTTGGGCTGTTCGACTGGAAATGACTTTTTGTTTCCAAATTTACTTCAATTTTTTTAAAAGGCAAAAACACTTGAACACTAAACAAAATATTTCATTCGACACTCCAACAATTTCCCCCCGACTTTTTTGGTCTCCAAAAAAATTCAAAACTTTTTGGTTTCGCATCAAACCAAAACTAGTAATAATAATGACAGCGATGCAGTAGTTTGCATTGAACAAGGGCATAAACCCAAGCCAGGAGAATTAAAACAGTGATTTGCCCTCAACCTTTCCAGATCTTAGCTGGAGGTTTGTGTCTTTATTTGCAGAGCTATTGGAATCTCCTTAGCATATTCTGAATTCCTGATGAGATGAGCTCATCACTGCACTCCCAGCAGTGATGCTTGGGGCTGCTTTATTTATTTATTTGCAGGGCCTTTCTGTTTGCAGAGTCACCTCGCCATGTGGAATCATCCGCCTAATTGGGAATCCAGGGTGAATACGTTCATGCTAAGCCTAGGTGGTCATACGAGGTGATCTGGCGATCCTTTCTGGCCTTAAAGTCTATGATCTGGAAACCATCAAGCAGATAATATGCAAAGCAGACAGAGCCCAATGGATCACAGAGGGTCAGCCCACTCTTGAAGAGAAAGGATAAAACGTTAATTCTTAGCTTTATTATTCCTTTCTCAGTATTGTTGAGGGCCCTACCTATGATCTTATATGACCCTCATCACCATAGACTGGGCAACAGGGGATGGATCACTTGATGATTACCTGTTCTGTTCATTCCTTTTGAAGTACCTGGCACTGGCCACTGTTGGAAGACAGGATACTGGGCTAGAGGAGCCTTTGGTTTGACCCAGTATGGCCATTCTTAAGTTCCTATTATCTCAGTACATCACAGTCATTCATGAATTAGTATCATCCCCATTTTGTAGATGGGGAACTGAGGCACAGTGTAGATAAAGTGACTTGCCCAGGGTCACACAGGAAGCTTGTGTCTGAGTCAGGAGCTGACCCCATGTCTGCTGAGTCCCAGTCTAATGCCTTATGCACTAAACCCTCCTTCCTACCCACGGCATGGCTTCCCTGGGCCTGCCTTTGAGACTGTGAGCTCTTCAGGGCAGGGCACATTTTGTGAGGGGTCAGATTTGGCCCTAGGCACCAGCAGAAGTCCCATGCACCTCATATGAAAATGGGCCCTTTCCTTTCAAAGATGGCAGAGCTGGTCAAAAAATGCTGCAAATAATTTACAACTTTTTAAAGTTTTTCATGAAAAAAAGTCAAAGTTTTGAATTTTTTGAAAAATGTCAACCTGTTCGACAACGGGGTGTGATTGTAGGACCTGGGCTGGCGGACACTTACACACATGAGCTTTGATTTTTTGGTTTGGCTTCGAAACCCAAAATCAGTGATTTGCACAGTCCTTATCCCCAGCGCCCATCCTGCACAGACTCCTCACAGCACCCCTGGGTGGGAGGAACGTAAGTCCCATTATTCTGACAGGTGGCGAAACTAAGGATAAGTGTGATAGTCAAATATGGAATTGCAGAACTACTAACTGTGGTATGTAACCCATCGCTTAAATCAGCCTCTGTACCAGATGGTTGGAGGGTAGCTAATGTAACACCTATATATTTTTTAAAAGGTCCTAGAGGTGATCCTAGCAACTACATTCAGACAAACTTAACTTCAGGACCAAGCAAACTGGTTGAAACTATACTAAAGAACAAATTAATCAGACACAGAGATGAACACAATTTGTTGAGGAAGAGTCAACACAGCTTTTGTGAAGGGAAATCATGCCTCACCAATCTATTACAATTCTTTGAGGGGGTCAACAAGCATGTGATCAAGGAAGATCCAGTCAATATAGTGTTCTTGAACTTTCAGAAAGCCTTTAACAAGGTCCCTCACCAAAGACTCTTAAGCAAAGTAAGCAGTCATGGGATAAGAGGGAAGGCCCTCTCATGGATTAGTAACTGGTTAAAAGACAGGAAACAAAGGGTAGGAATACACAGTCAGTTTTCTCAATGGAGAGAGATAAATATTGGGGTCCCCAACAGGATCTGTGCTGGAACCTGTGCTATTCAAGATATTCATAAATGATCTGGAAAGGGGGATGACCAGTGAGGTGGCAAATTTCTTGATGATAAAATATTACTCAAGATAGGTAAGTCCAAAGCTGACTGTGAAGAGTTACAAAGAGATCTCACAAAACTGGGTGACCAGACAACAAAATGGCAGATGAAATTCAATGTTGATAAGTGCAAAGTAATGCACATCGGAAAACATAATCCCAACAACATATACAAAAGGATGGGATCTAAATTAGTTGTTGCCGCTCAAGAAAGAGATCTTGGAGTCATCATGGATAGTTCTCGGAAAACATCCACTCAATGTGCAGCGGCAGTCAAAAAAGCTAACAGAATGTTGGGAACCATTAGGGAAGGGATAGAAAATAGGAGAGAAAATATCATAATACCTCTGTATAAATCCATGGTATGCCCACACCTTGAATACTGTGTGCAGTTCTGATTGCCCCGTCTCAAAAAAAGATATATTAGAATTGGAAAAAGTACAGAGAAGGAAAACAAAAATGATTAGGGATATGGAACAGCTTCCGTATGAGGAGAGATTAAAAAGACTGGGACCGTTCAGTTTAGGAAAGAAACAACTAAGGGGAGATATGATAGAGGACTATAAAATCATGACTGGTGTGGAGAAAGTGAATAAGGAAGTGTTTTTACCTCTTCACATAACACAAAAACCAGGGCTCACCTAATGAAATTAATAGGCAGCGGGGTTAAAACAAACAGAAGGCAGTACTTCTTCACACAGCACACAGTCAACCTGTAGAACTCATTGCCAGGGGATATTGTGAAGGCCAAAAGTGTAAGTGGGTTTTAAAAAAAATTAGAGAAGTTCCTGGAGGATAGGTCCACCAGTGGCTATTAGCCAAGATGATCAGGGATGCAACTCCATACTCTGGGTGTCCCTGAACCTCTGACTGCCAGAAGCTGGGACTGGATGACAGGGGATGGATCACATGATCATTGCCCTGTTCTGTTCATTCCCTCTGCAGCACCTGGCACTGGCCACTGTCGACGAGAGGATCCTGGGCTAGCTGGACCACTGGTCTGAGCCAATATGGCCGTTCTTACATTCTTGTGTCACATGATTATCATGATGCCAAATGAGAGTTTAATAATGAAGGCAGAAGAGTGCTCGGATAACAAAGTTCTTTATTTGCTGGCCGGCAATAGGTGCTGCATGGACTGGCAGTCCTGGACATTAAAGGCCCCAGCAAAACCAGTGCAGCACTGACAGAGACAGGGCCAGCTTCCCCGTTGATGCCCTGCCAACCCCCTGACAGGAAGGACCCAGCTCCAGGGGCAGGGAGTACGTCAGTCTCCAGGGGCCGGTCAGCCCTTGGCTTCTCTTATCCCACAAGGGACTCCACTGGCCCCTACTGTGACGCCAATGACTGTGATGCGGATACAGGCTCCCTGGGCTGGGACTCCCATGCAAGGAGTGAATGAGCTCTGCTAACTTCTGATTACGCTTCTCTTTGCATCTCCAAAGGCTTGCAGAGTCCCACCCCTACCCTCCCAGAAGCCTCCAAAATGCATCATTTCCTAGCACAATCCGGAGCTGATCCGCATACGCCAAACAAGGGGGAGGGGAAGTCCTGTATTAGATGTCCACGGGATACCCAAGCAAAGTGGCGGAAGAAGGCTCAGTGGAGGATCTCCCCCAGCCAGCACTCCATGCCGTCATCTGTCTCCTGCAACGCTGTCCCACGGGGGTGGCGAGGCTCCTGGCTATGGCAGAGGTTCTGGCTCATACTGCTTTTCCGTCGCCGTGTAAAAATCCTCGAGGACGGACTGCAGGTACTCAAAGGTGGGCCTGTCCTCTGGCTTACCCCTCCAGCACCTCAGTATGATGGTGTAGAGTTCTCCAGGGCAACCGTCCGGGCACGGCATGCGATAGCCCCGCTCCAGGTTCCGAATGACCTCGGGGTTGGTCATGCCTAGAACAAAACACGCCCCCAACCCTGAGCGTGAGTTCACCACGGATGGGCGTCTATGTGCCAGGAGAGGAGAGCACAGCTTTGAAGCTGCAGAGCGTCATGGCAGCTGCGGAGGCCACGCCTCAGGCTAGAGCTCAGCGGCTACTTGTTATTATTGACATGGTGGTAGATCCTAGAAGCCCCAGCCAAGATCAGGACTACATGGCATTAGGCACAGGAGCTGCCCCAGTAAACTCACAGTCAGGGTACATCTACACTGCAATCACGGGGTGTGACTGTCGCTCCTCTAGACACCCCCAAGCTAGCTTCAGTCTCATTAGCTCGGGTCTTGGAGCAGTGATGTCATGGGCTTAATGGTGGGCTGGCCACCGGAGTAATTACCCAGGGTTCCAGGCGGGCGTGTACAGCCCATGCTGCTGCAACTTCACTGCTCCCGTATCTGAGCTAGCTGGATTCAATCTCGCTCGAGTCTAGCATCTCTGTCCAGCGTCCTCCTCCTGGACTTACCCTAGTCTGTTTAAGCCCTGTGTGCCAGGTCGAGGCCCCAGAGGGAGCTCTGCCTATAAAACCAATAAGGACCTCCCCCTTAACAGAGGGGCGGAGTCAAAAGAACCCCGGGATCAACAAAATAATCAAACCAGGAAGGGGAGGGTGGTTAAAGGGTCAAAACAAGGGCCCCAGAGGAGGACGCAGAGCAGAGAACCCTGGACAGCGCCCACTGCTCCAAGGAGGCAGAGGAAGCTACCCAGAGGAACTCTGCCTGGAGGCATAAAAGAGCAATGAATGGTCACAGAGAACCCCACCCCGCTTCCTGCTCTTGGAGCAATGCCAGACGGCTTTCCCCCTCCATTCCCAGCACTTAGCTTCCAGCACCATCCCTTGGAGCCAGAGAGCCATCTGTGTTCCTGGACCAGTCCCAGCCCTTAGCTTCCCTACAGAGTTTGCCAACAAGGACGCACCCAGGCTAAGCTGGCTGGTTTTGTGCCATAGACTGCTGCCCAGTGTGAACTGGATTGCAACCACCAAACACATTCCACATAGGCCACCGTACAGCCTACGCTTTGCGATGACTTTGTGGCTCTGATTCCGCAAAGCACTCAAGTACCTGAGTAGTTCCATCCATGGGGACTTAAATTTAAGCACCTACTTAAGTGCTTTGCTGACTCGGGGCCTCGGCAGGAGTCAAGCAAGTAACCTACTAGAGAGGTAAAAGGCTCCATATCTCATGGCTGATCCCCTGAGCAATAGTCCTCGTAACTTTTGGAGCAGCAGTTGCAGCGGGAATCATGATGCACTCCACAGTAAATGGGAGGGAAGGCTGTATTCTCAAGAGACCGTACCTGGATAAGGGGTCCTGCCGTAGGTTATAATTTCCGTTAGAAGAATCCCAAATGACCAGACGTCAGATTTGATTGTGAAAACCCCAAAGTTAATTGCCTCTGGCGCTGTCCATTTAATAGGGAATTTGGCACCTGTCAGGAAGAAATAAATTAAAGAAAGAACATTAATGTGGAGTGTCTTCCTGGATTCATACCATGCACAGGCTGCTCAAGCGTGTTGGTCTTCAGAAGGTCTTATCTGGATGCTGGGTACTGCCAATTGCATGCTGGGGCTGATACAGTCTTTGTTTAAAGGACAAAATGATTCATCATAGGATGGACCAGTTCCTGTCTTTTCCCTTCATTATAAGGCATCCTTGCCTGTGTAGTTTTATTTTGCTCTCTCTGGTTCTACTTTACAAAACAATGAATGATGTATAACCTTAAAAAGCAGGTGCAAATTAAGATAAAAAGGTCATCAAATACATCATAAATCACATGGAGCATGCAAACCACACATACATGATATGAACATTACAGAAAATGAGTAATGGCCAACAGAAGAAAAGAACAGCTTGTAATTACACTAATAAAGTGAAAAGTTAAAAGGATCAAAAGGCTTAGAAGACCATTTTTTGTATCATCCATGGATTTAATAGATATTGGCTTTCAAAATACTTGCCATAAGTATCACTTCCTATAATAATATTTTAGAGATAGAACCCAGGATTTTCAGGACCAAAGCACAGGCTGCAACCACTTGTGCTAAAGGAATAATGTTATAAACTGACAGCATTTGTAGGTTTTTACCTTCTCTATGGCCTAACCATTAATGGAGGGCATGGTGCATTCAGACAGTGATTAATATCTTTGTAATGATCTCCCTATCATGAGTAGTCAGTGAAGCAAGAATCCATAGGCGGCACATAATGGAGGCTAGGGGAGGCTAAGCCATGGGGGGGCTGAGAGCAGTGAGTGGGGGCATGGCCTCTGCCAGAAGAGGCGGGGCAGGCGGCTAGCCTCCCCAAGGGGAAGCTTCACTCGCCACCCATGCTAGAATCCAAGACCTTTATCACAAAAACACAAGCCTCTGCCACCTAAGGTAAAGGCGTAACTCCATTAGAGGCCAGCAGTAGTAGGATTTTATCTTTTATGCAGATCAGCCACTAGAGAGGGACACAGTATTTAGCCAGTGTGCTACAGAGGGTGTGGAGAAATGTAAATATATGTAAATTTAAAATATATATTTGAAAATCTGTTCCACCTTTATTTACCTGGAAACACCTAAGTTCAGGATTCTGTGTCTCCCCTAGCATCAGATCAGCATAAACCCACAATTCAGGTTTTATTAAGGACAAACAACACTAATATAAACTAAATATTATAATGATTTTGATGAAGACAGCATTTTTATTTAAACACCTCCCTGAAATCCCACCAACCCAAACACAACGGGCACAGTATCAAAAATCAAACCCAACACAAAACATTTCAGTTGAAGTGAAACATTTTGCGGAGGGGGGCTTTTGAAATGTTCCTGTTTCATTGCGAATCGAAAGACATCTCAAAATCTCAAAATCCTTTGCCAAACAGGATCGTCATCCTCCAGCCAGCTCTACGGGAGACCTTATGAAACTTTAAAAAAGGTCTGTTTTGTTTCCCATATACTTTATAAAGCCTCGTAACAAGCTGAATGAATCTCTCTCATTACCAACATCTTGGTAGCTGAAGAATACTATAGCTGAGTAAACTGTATTTTGCTGTGTGCCAGTCAGGTGTGGCTAGACAGAGGAGTGAATTGAACCAACAAGCTCTATGCCCCTTTGGTGCCCACATTCTCTTAGTCCCACATATTACCATAGCAGAGCCCCAAACTGGAAGCTTTGTTCAGGGCACTGGCTCTATCAGCTGATTCAAAATGCAGCTTCATATGAGCTGAGCCAGCCAGAAGTTGCTCTTTGTGTATCTTTTTATAGAGATGCTCCCCACTCACAAGAACCACTAACAGAACCACAGCGCTAGCCAGCTATGTCTCCAAACTTGGGGGGATGGGAGTTAAAAATCCAAATTGTGTCAATTGTCCTTGGCTTTTACACCTGGCCACACCAAAACCCTGGATCAGAATGGAGGCTGTGTTTGAAATCTGGATCCACACCCAAATTTTGCAGTTCAAGTCCATTTCTTACTGTTTCATTGTATATTGCATCACTACGGTATGCAGATATAGGCAAAGTGTTCATTTCCCTGCAAAGACCTCAGTTCAGGGGTCAGTATTTCCCCTAGCATCAGGGAGGTTGAGTTTATCCAGTAGCAGGGCCAGAGATCTTAGCATGAATCCATAGGATGCCCCTATATCTATGATATTCTACTCCATAAGAACGGCCATACTGGGTCAAACCAAAGGTCCATCTAGCCCAGTATCCTTTTTCCAACAGTGGCCAATGCCAGGTGCTCCATAGGGAATGAACAGAACAGGTAATCATCAAGTGATCCATCCCCTGTCGCCCATTCCCAGCTTCTGGCAAACAGAGGCTAGGGACACCATTCCTGCCCATCCTGGCTAATAGCCATTGATGGACCTATCCTCCATGAATTTATCTAGTTCTTTTTTGAACCCTGTTATAGTCTCCAACATTAAATTCACGCTGTGTGGACGTGGAATTGTGTGAAGGAGAAATGCAAGCTGCAAATGTAACTGGACTTCTTCAGCTAGGTTCTTCCGTACAGCACCATGAGTGGAACCTACCTTCTTGGGCCAGGTACTCATTTTCTATTATCCTGGCCAGGCCAAAATCAGCAATTTTACAGCAGAGCGTCTCTGAGACAAGGATGTTGGCTGCTCTCAGGTCTCGGTGGATAGAGTTCATTCTCTCGATGTATGCCATTCCTTCTGCAACCTAGGAGAGCAGAAACGGCCACAGCGTTTACCACAAGAAGATTCAAATAAGCCTCCTGATCCCTAGACATGAAAGATGGAAAAGCCCTTGTCCGTCGCCTCCCTGATACAAGATTGTGCTGTTATTCCATGTATTATGGTAGCACCTACCGGCTCCAGCTGAGATTAGGGTCAGACTGCGCTCAGTGTGCGTAGTAAGAGACCATCCCTGCCTCAAACAGTTTAGACAAGACATACAAAGTGTGGCAGAAAGGAAGGGTTGTTTTTGCCATTCTACAGATGGGGAAACGAGGCACAGACAGATGACGAGACTTGACCACAGGACATCTGTGGGAGAAGCAGAGACTAAGCCTAGATCTTCTGATTCCAAGGCTCAGCCACAAGACCATCTTTGATCCCCTACATCTTGGAGTTTAGTTGAAAATATTGCAGATTAAATAAAAAAACTCTTCCCGTTTTTCAGTCACAGCCAGAGTAGTTTAAATCTAAGACGATCAACAGTAAATGATCATTAATAATCTCATCCATTCACCTCTTCTGTACAGTGTGGACTTGTGTTTTGTTTGCTTGTGCCTGACACTGTATATGCCTCAGGAGGCAATGAAGCTCCTGCATGGACAGCCAAGCAGTATAAGTAAGCATAAAACCCATAACTCACTGAGAGACCAATGGAAGCTGTATCCTAGAGCGTTAATATGCTGGGAATGTGTTCTGAGCCAAGCCCCTGACCCTGCTCAAGTCCTTCTTAGAAACACTCCCTGAATTGAGCTAACTTGTATTTGTTCTCTTGCTTCTGACAGCTGGTCTCTGTAGATGCCAAGCTCCTTAGAGCAAGGGACCAGTGTTTGGGAAGTGTCTAACACATGATAAGCTCTCCTGTAAATAAGAATAATAGCAAGTTTTTGTGTTTGGGGGCTTTCATAGAATCATAGAATCATGGACTTTAAGGTCAGAAGGGACCATTATGATCGTCTGGTCTGACCTCCTGCACAACGCAGGCCACAGAATCTCACCCACCCACTCCTGTATCAACTCCCTAACCTATGTCTGAGCTATTGAAGTCCTCAAATCGTGGTTTAAAACTTCAAGGTGTAGAGAATCCTCCAGCAAGTGACTCATGCCCCACGCTGCAGAGGAAGGCGAAAAACCCCCAGGGCCTCTGCCAATCTGCCCTGGAGGAAAATTCCTTCCCAACCCCAAATATGGTGATCAGCTAAACCCTGAGCATGTGGGCAAGACTCACCAGCCAGACACCCAGAAAAGAATTCTCTGTAGTAACTCAGATCCCACCCCATCTAACATCCCATCACAGGCCATTGGGCCTATTTACTGCTAATAGTCAAAGATCTATTAATTGCCAAAATTAGGCTTTGCAGAAGCGGGGAGCTTTGAAGGGGGATTTGAAAAGTGACAGGTTCAGCTTTAGCCCAGACACTAATCAGGACAATGAATGGATGAGAAGGCAAGAATGGCAAGAAGGCCTAGCACCAATTTGGGTTTTCACACGCCCTGAGGTTAGGGCATTACAATTTTCCACCCACTAAGATTCTCATCAGCTTCTTGCTTACATGTGGTTTTAAACAGGATACTAACATGTACTTTCCAAATATGTATTTCACCCTCTATCAACACCCTTCAAGCTCGAGTGCCGCTTGCCTCAGTGGAAAATGGAAGAATTGATGTCACTTCCTGTCCTGATGTTAATGAGATAGCACTAGACTCGATGGTTTCCTTTCAGCATGTGTGTGCATCCGAGTGTGTGTGTGTGAGACTGACCACAGGATGAATTCGGTGCACCCAAAACTTTCTAATTTTAACTACAGCTGATGCTATTGGCTGCAAATTGCGTATGAAGGGTCAAGTTACCTTGGGACATGACGTATTCAAAACACCACGAGTAAACATGTTGTGAAAAAGCATGACTGGCTTTACATCAGCCCCATCCAGAAACAGCTAGTGATTAACTGAAGCCCAGCACTTGGGGTTTGGGCAGCTCAGGATCTGCATCAGGTCTGCAATGGCACAGGTGTGCGCCGCGTGAAGGGATGCAAAAAATCCCCGTGCAGCTCCTGCACTGGCTTGGCTAGCTGAAGCCTCCTTTAGGGGCACGTGATAGATTCGCTGTCTTCAGGCCACAAGATCCCAGCATTCTGTGGCCTGTGCTGAAATCCTCTGCCCTGTGCTATGCAGGAGGCCAGACTAGATGATCATAATGGTCCCTTCTAGGTTTAAAATCTACCAGTCTCTGCTATGCTGGGCACACACACAGCAAGCCCAGCCATTGGAATGCGTTTTGTCAGCCCTTGTGCCTGGCAAGGGACATTCTCCGCTTTATACATGGGCCATAGGAGGGACCAGACTGTAGGAACTTTAATGGGGATTTATGAGGCTAACAGAGCATGCCCCCTACTTCACTCTATTTGAAGATTAAACCAAAGATTCAGTAGCTTGAGATTCCTCTGCTTAACAAAGAACAGGGCCTGTGAATAGAAACAGACAGAGTTGCCCACTTGGGTGGGATTTTCACAGAAGCATCCCCAAGCATTCCTTCAGAAGCATCCCTAAGTGCTTTAGAGACACACGCTTGTGTAATGGCATGTATCAGTGTCATGCCTTTGGGCAGCAAGGAAAGGGTTAACGCAGGCCCAGCTGGGTTGAATGCCGCCTCCGCTGCAAATTGGTTTGGAGCCCAGAGCACTGGAGTTCTGAGGGCAGCTGGACAGATGCTCTACCTGCAGGAAAGGGCCCCTGACTCCCATGCTAAGTGGCTGGGCCGGGAGCAGGAGGATGATCAGCATAAATATGCCGATTTGCAGGCAATTTGTTTGTTTCTTTGGAGGGGACTGACTAGAACAAGCCACTGTCATATTCCTTTGGGCTGGGCTACTGAAAGCCCCAATGGTCTCTTGTTAAACTAAGAATCCTTTCACTAGAGGGCAGTTTTAGATGGCTGGACCTCTTGCTGCTTGCAAGGGGAGGGACTCAAGATTCCATCTTCGAATTCTAAGTCAGGGTTTGGCGAGAGTCTTAAAAGGGAAGGAACTTGCTTAGGGAGGGCTCTAGCAGAAGGTAGCCCTGTCTGGAGGTCATGACATCCCCTTTAATCCCAGACTCTCAAAGTGCTTTGCAAGTGTTCGGCTGAGGTCAAGCGTGGATGGAACAATGCACGCTGGGACCTGAGGTCACTGCAGCCCACACCACCACACTGAAGATAACCGTGGTTGATGGCTTCACTGTGGAATTCTCTAGCCCACATTTGACCTGAGTTTGCACTTTGGTCTCTCCAGATTAGAGCTGGCTGAAATTTTTTGGATTAATAGTTTATTAGCAGAAAAATGCAGTTTGGGGTCGACCAAAACTATTTGTAAATTCGGGTCAAATTTGGTGGATAGCTTTGGTGGGGTTTTTTTTTTCTGAAAAAGTTGGAATGTTTAGACATTTTCTAAATGAAACATTTCAACTTTTTGTTTTGAAACAACATTTCCTTTAGAAATTTAGCTAGCTTTATTTTGTAAAGAACAAAGAAAATAAACAAACGAAAGGGTAAAAAACACCCGGAAAAGAAACAAAATAGAAAGAAAAAAAAAAAAACCCAAAATTTCTGGTCAAACAAAACATTTTGTTCAACCTGAAATAAAAATTTGTTGTTTGTTTGTTTCAGTAAGAAAAACCAAAAATTTTGGGGTTTGGGTCTATCAGCAACAATTCCCCCCTGCCTCCCGCCCCGATATTTTGATTCGGTAGCTAAACTGAAAAAAAATCAATTATTTGCTCAGCTCTGCTCCTGATATGGCATTTTTCTCTCTCTTCCCTACAAACTCATTGGGCCAAATTTCCTGGTGTAACCCCCAACTGAAGCGAGTGGAGTTACCTGAGGGATAAATTTGGTAGGTTGTGTTTCTCTTCAGGAATTTAAAACTAACCACTGATTATTTCCTTCAAGTTATAAAAAATAGAAATAACTTCTAACCACGGAGTCTGCAGCTGTTCCCCTTAATCTATTACGGATATCAAAGGTAGGGCAGCAGACCAGATTTTATCACTAGTGAAGAGGAAAAGAACTGTTACACCATTCACGGGAGGGATAAAAATAGCTAATAGGGCGGCTTCTTTAAGATATTTCAGTATTTTTGCTTCTGGGTAAAATGAAAAGCAGATGCTTCTGCCGTGTCAGAAAGCACCTCCTCAGAAATACACAATTCCAGGTATTTTATTCATTTAAAAACAAATATGAATTGTAGCTGGATTCCCTAGTACCTTGGAAAAGAGTAACTGAAAATGACTGTGAAGTTAGCCCATCACCACTAAAGAGAGGAATGGTGGCCATGTGGCTAAAGAATTGCATTGGGTGCCAGGAGCACCGGGTTCTAATCTCAGCTCTGAGCTTGGATGGATCCTCAGTCAGGCTTTCTAAAATACTCAATGCCAGCCTAGCTCTTCTCCTGTTGAAATCAATGACATCATATTGATTCCACCAGGAGCAGTGTTAAGTGCTTCTGAGAATCCCCAGCTCTGTGGGCAAGACCCTGCAGCTCAGTTTCCCAACCTGTATAAGGTGGTTAATATGCTTATGTACCTCCAAAGAGGTTGTGAAGCTACATTGGTTAATGTTTGCCAAAAAACACCTGGAGATCCTCAGATGGAGGACACAGTGGTCATATTACAACAATAAGCGCTGCCTAATGTTAGGCATCTCAGTGCATGTTAATCCCCCTAACGATGCTGCCTCATCTTCAGAGGGGCTAAGCACCCATTACTCCCAATCAAGTCAACCAGAATTGGAGGTGCTCAGCACCCCTGAAAACCAGATTCTCTTCTTGCCTGTGTCCCTACACATGGTAGATCACTGTCACTCCAGAGCAGGACCTTCTCTTACTAAAACTGTCTGGAGAAAAGAGAAAAGACTTTTCTGCTCACTAAGCCAGGAAAGACTCTGCCTTCCGTATTATGCAGCGTGCTAAGAAAAGGGTCCCCATGTGAGATGTGATGATACTGATGATGGGCTGGCATTCCCATCAGTACTGCAGGTGAAGGGAGGAACCCCTGGCTATCACATCTGGAAGTTCACAGAGTCCTAGATTCTAAGGCCAGAAGGGACCATTTTGATCGTCTAGTCTGATGTCCTGCATAGCCCAGACCACAGAACTTTCCTGAATTAATTCCTGCTTCAAGTCCAATAACTGTTACAAGGCTTTTAGAAAATATTCAATCTTGATTTTAAAATGACCAGTCATGGAAAATCCACCCACCCCGGCCCTTGGTAAGTTGCTCCAGTGGGCAATTACCCTCAATGTTAAAAAATGCACTTTATTTCTAGTCTGAATTTGTCTAACCTCAACTTCCAGCCATTGGTTGTTGTTATACCTTTATCTGATAGTCTGAAGAGCTCTCTATTATCACATTTCAATTCCCAGTATAAATATGTATAGACTGTGATCAAGTCACCCCTCAACTTTCTCTTGTATAAGCGAAATAGATTGAGCTCTTTGAGTCCATCACTATAAGGAACATTTTCCAATCTTTTAATCATGTTCATGGCTCTTCTCTGAACCCTCTCCAATAATATGTATCCCCTTTGCGTCTGCAAACATGTCATCTTGGATAACATTGCACCATCTTCCCAACACTCATCCTGGTGTCTTTGACTACAGACCTGGGCTGAGATGTCAATGAGTTTTGGGAGAGTTAGTTGGCTTCCATCATCCGTCTTCAAGAAATCCAGCAAGCACCCTGTAAAAGAGGAGACGCACCGTGTTCTCTGGATGATGTGATTTGAATGAAAGTTACATATTAGGTCCACGTCCTTCTCTAGCTATTGTTATCCAACCTGTCTACAGCTTTTTTACTTCTGGAAAGATCTCAGGAACTTCACTGCCTCTATCAAGTGCACCAGAGTCAGAGTGAAAACACCCGCTTCCCTTCAGATTTTGTACAGAGCTCTTTGCAAAGCCCATAGGATTCTTTACGCCACCCACTGATCAGCTGTTCGGTGGCAGGCAGGAAGCACTGGGGGTGGAGCGAGAGCGGGGTAGTCTCAGGGGAGGAGCGGGGCAGGAAGAGGCAGAGCGAGGGCAGAGCCTTGGGGAGGGGACGGAGCCTCAGGGCGGAGGAGGGCTGGAGCACCCACCCAGAAAAATGAAAGTCAGCACCTGGGGCATCGTCCCCTACGTTACCTGCTGCAGGCATGGGATTTTCACAAATCCTAAACCCTGGCCTAACCTTTGAAACTCAGCCAAAAATGTCTAAAGAATAAAGTCCAGGGAGACTCTTTACCGTTGGCCATGTACTCTGTCACAATGTAGATTGGCTGTTTGGTGACTACTGCATGCAGCCGGACTAGCTTGTCGTGCTGGAGCATCTTCATCAAGTTTGCCTCAGCCAGGAAGGCATCAGGAGGCATGGAGCCCTCCTTTAGGGTCTTCACAGCCACCTTCACACTGTTCTTATAATAGCCTGCAGCAAAAGAGAAAGGAGGGTCCAACAGTTAAGGTGCTAGCCTGGGATTTAGGAGAAACAGGTTCAATTCCTTTCTCTGCCACAGCTTTCCTGTGTGAGGAGCAAGTCAATGGAAGTTTGGAGCCTCACTACCTCTGAAGCTCCGTGGCTCAGTTTCCCCATCTGTACAATGGGATAATAGGCCTTCCCTAGCTCACAGGAGTGTTATGAGAGTAAATACATTAAAGATTAGGAGATCATAGACTTTAAGGTCAGAACAGACCATCATGATCATCTGGTCTGACTTCCTGCACATTGCAGGCCACAGAACCTCACCCGCCCACTCCTGTAATACACCCTGTAATCTCTGGCTCAGTTACTGAAGTTCTCAAATCATGGTTTAAAGACTTCAAGTGACAGAGAATCCACCATTTACACTAGTTTAAACTTGCAAGTGACCCATGCCCCATGCTGCTGACATGTTGCAGAGGAAGGCAAAAAACCCCAGGGTCTCAGCCAATCTGACCTGGGAGAAAATTCCTTCCCGATCAGTAAGACCCTGAGCATGTGGGCAAGACCCACCAGGCAGATACCTGGGAAATAATTCTCTTTAGTTACTTGGAGCCCTCCCCATCTAGTGTCCCATCTTCAGTAAGGTGTGTGTGGGGGGGTGTCATCTACCTTAGACAGAAAACTAACAGCAAGAAGCCCTTTGATGTGATGGTCTGGTCTTCCTGTTACCGTGTGAAATAACTAAACATACCGATCCATGTGCTAAGCACTAGGGTATCTACCACAGGGAACAACCCTGCCTGAGGGATCACTGAACTCAATGGGACCAGTGGATGGGCTCCTTCCAAGATGGCGGAAACCTCAGAAGGAAGTGGAGAGGACCCATCTCCTCTGAGAGGGTCTCTGTGTAGTAGGATTGCCAACTTTGGTTGGATGAATTCCCGGAGGTTTCATCACATATCAGTATCTTTAATTCAAGATTAATCTTTAATTCCTGGAGACTGTCTCCAGGACAATCCTGAAGGCGTTGGCAACCCTACTGTGTAGAGGTTCCAGGAAGGTGTGGTGGAGAGTGGAGGCAGCTGGGTACGCACTTTGAACTGGGGAAACAGACTGCAATGCACTGGTGGGGGGGGGG